CACATACATTTTATATGTACACGAACCTATTATATGTATAAGAGGATCAATTCTTCCATAGGGGAAGTGCCACTCACCACCTTCCCTACCCTTCGCCACCTTCCCTACCCTTCACCACCTTCCCTACCACTCACCACCTTCCCTACCCTTCACCACCTTCCCTACCACTCACCACCTTCCCTACCCTTCACCACCTTCCCTACCACTCACTACCTTCCCTACCCTTCACCACCTTCCCTACTCTTCACCACCTTCCCTACCACTCACCACCTTCCCTACCCTTCACCACCTTCCCTACCCTTCACCACCTTCCCTACCACTCACCACCTTCCCTACCCTTCACCACCTTCCCTACCACTCACTACCTTCCCTACCCTTCACCACCTTCCCTACTCTTCACCACCTTCCCTACCCTTCACCACCTTCCCTACCACTCACCACCTTCCCTACCCTTCACCACCTTCCCTACCCTTCACCACCTTCCCTACCACTCACCACCTTCCCTACCCTTCACCACCTTCCCTACCCTTCACCACTTTCCCTACCCTTCACCACCTTCCCTACCCTTCACCACCTTCCCTACCCTTCACCACCTTCTTTACCCTTCACCACCTTCCCTACCACTCACCACCTTACCTACCCTTCACCACCTACCCTACCCTTCACCACCTTCCCTACCCTTCACCACCTTCCCTACCACTCACCACCTTCCCTACCCTTCACCACCTTCCCTACCACTCACCACCTTCCCTTCTCTTCACCACCTTCCCAACCCTTCACCACCTTCCCTACCCTTCACCACCTTCCCTACCCTTCACCACCTTCTTTACCCTTCACCACCTTCCCTACCACTCACCACCTTCCCTACCCTTCACCACCTTCTTTACCCTTCACCACCTTCCCTACCACTCACCACCTTACCTACCCTTCACCACCTACCCTACCCTTCACCACCTTCCCTACCCTTCACCACCTTCCCTACCACTCTCCACCTTCCCTACCCTTCACCACCTTCCCTACCCTTCACCACCTTCCCTACCCTTCACCACCTTCCCTACCCTTCACCACCTTCCCTACCACTCACCACCTTCCCTACCCTTCACCACCTTCCCTACCACTCACCACCTTCCCTACCCTTCACCACCTTCTCTACCCTTCAAGACCTTCCCTACCCTTCACGACCTTCCCTACCCTTCACCACCTTCCCTACCCTTCGCCACCTTCCCTACCACTCACCACCTTCCCTACCACTCACCACCTTCCCTACCCTTCACCACCTTCCCTACTCTTCACCACCTTCCCTACTCTTCACCACCTTCCCTACCACTCACCACCTTCCCTACCCTTCACCACCTTCCCTACCCTTCACCACCTTCCCTACCCTTCACCACCTTCCCTACCACTCACCACCTTCCCTACCACTCACCACCTTCCCTACCCTTCACCACCTTCCCTACCCTTCACCACCTTCCCTACCCTTCACCACCTTCCCTACCCTTCACTACCTTCCCTACTCTTCCCCACCTTCCCTACCCTTCACCACCTTCCCTACCCTTCACCACCTTCCCTACCCCTCACCACCTTCCCTACCACTCACCACCTTCCCTACCCTTCACCACCTTCCCTACCCTTCACCACCTTCCCTACCCTTCACCACCTTCCCTACCCTTCACCACCTTCCCTACCCTTCACCACCTTCCCTACCCTTCACCACCTTCCCTACCCTTCACCACCTTCCCTACCACTCACCACCTTCCCTACCACTCACCACCTTCCCTACCCTTCACCACCTTCCCTACCCTTCACCACCTTCCCTACCCTTCACCACCTTCCCTACCCTTCACCACCTTCCCTACCCTTCACCACCTTCCCTACCCTTCACCACCTTCCCTACCCTTCACCACCTTCCCTACCCTTCACCACCTTCCCTACCACTCACCACCTTCCCTACCCTTCACCACCTTCCCTACCACTCACCACCTTCCCTACCCTTCACCACCTTCCCTACCACTCACCACCTTCCCTACTCTTCACCACCTTCCCTACCACTCACCACCTTCCCTACCCTTCACCACCTTCCCTACCCTTCACCACCTTCCCTACCCTTCACCACCTTCCCTACCCTTCACCACCTTCCCTACCCTTCACCACCTTCCCTACCCTTCACCACCTTCCCTACCCTTCACCACCTTCCCTACCACTCACCACCTTCCCTACCACTCACCACCTTCCCTACCCTTCACCACCTTCCCTACCCTTCACCACCTTCCCTACCCTTCACCACCTTCCCTACCCTTCACCACCTTCCCTACCCTTCACCACCTTCCCTACCCTTCACCACCTTCCCTACCCTTCACCACCTTCCCTACCCTTCACCACCTTCCCTACCCTTCACCACCTTCCCTACCCTTCACCACCTTCCCTACCCTTCACCACCTTCCCTACCCTTCACCACCTTCCCTACCCTTCACCACCTTCCCTACCACTCACCACCTTCCCTACCACTCACCACCTTCCCTACCCTTCACCACCTTCCCTACCCTTCACCACCTTCCCTACCCTTCACCACCTTCCCTACCCTTCACCACCTTCCCTACCCTTCACCACCTTCCCTACCCTTCACCACCTTCCCTACCCTTCACCACCTTCCCTACCCTTCACCACCTTCCCTACCCTTCACCACCTTCCCTACCACTCACCACCTTCCCTACCCTTCACCACCTTCCCTACCACTCACCACCTTCCCTACTCTTCACCACCTTCCCTACCACTCACCACCTTCCCTACCCTTCACCACCTTCCCTACCCTTCACCACCTTCCCTACCCTTCACCACCTTCCCTACCACTCACCACCTTCCCTACCACTCACCACCTTCCCTACCCTTCACCACCTTCCCTACCCTTCACCACCTTCCCTACCCTTCACCACCTTCCCTACCCTTCACCACCTTCCCTACCCTTCACCACCTTCCCTACCCTTCACCACCTTCCCTACCCTTCACCACCTTCCCTACCACTCACCACCTTCCCTACCCTTCACCACCTTCCCTACCACTCACCACCTTCCCTACCCTTCACCACCTTCCCTACCACTCACCACCTTCCCTACTCTTCCCCACCTTCCCTACCACTCACCACCTTCCCTACCCTTCACCACCTTCCCTACCCTTCACCACCTTCCCTACCCTTCACCACCTTCCCTACCCTTCACCACCTTCCCTACCCTTCACCACCTTCCCTACCCTTCACCACCTTCCCTACCCTTCACCACCTTCCCTACCACTCACCACCTTCCCTACCACTCACCACCTTCCCTACCCTTCACCACCTTCCCTACCTTTCACCACCTTCCCTACCCTTCACCACCTTCCCTACCCATCACCACCTTCCCTACCCTTCACCACCTTCCCTACCCTTCACCACCTTCCCTACCCTTCACCACCTTCCCTACCCTTCACCACCTTCCCTACACTTCACCACCTCCCCTACCATTCACCACCTTCCCTTCCCTTCACCACCTTCCCTACCACTCACCACCTTCCCTACTCTTCACCACCTTCCCTACCACTCACCACCTTCCCTACCCTTCACCACCTTCCCTACCCTTCACCACCTTCCCTACCCTTCACCACCTTCCCTACCCCTCACCACCTTCCCTACCACTCACCACCTTCCCTACCCTTCACCACCTACCCTACCCTTCACCACCTTCCCTACCCTTCACCACCTTCCCTACCCTTCACCACCTTCCCTACCACTCACCACCTTCCCTACCCTTCACCACCTTCCCTACCACTCACCACCTTCCCTACCCTTCACCACCTTCCCTACCACTCACCACCTTCCCTACTCTTCACCACCTTCCCTACCACTCACCACCTTCCCTACCCTTCACCACCTTCCCTACCCTTCCCCACCTTCCCTACCCTTCACCACCTTCCCTACCCTTCACCACCTTCCCTACTCTTCCCCACCATCCCTTCATCACCCTAACTATCCTCAACATTCACAGTCTTCATCAATAAAGTACATAAGATAAACTAACATTTGATCATTATGTGGAAACTAACACGAGTAATGACTCTTAAGAGAGGAGAGAGTGAGACATATTACCTATTTAGTGAACTAGGTGAAGGAAGAGGTAGGTTGGCAGTTCTCACCAGTTATGTTTGGGGACGGGTCACTACCTCCCTCTTATTACGACCAATGGCATCAATACACCTTAAGAAATACGACCAATGGGATCAATACACCTTAAGAAATACGACCAATGGGATCAATACACCTTAAGAAATACGACCAATGGCATCAATACACCTTAAGAAATACGACCAATGGGATCAATACACCTTAAGAAATACGACCAATGGCATCAATACACCTTAAGAAATACGACCAATGGGATCAATACACCTTAAGAAATACGACCAATGGGATCAATACACCTTAAGAAATACGACCAATGGGATCAATACACCTTAAGAAATACGACCAATGGGATCAATACACCTTAAGAAATACGACCAATGGGATCAATACACCTTAAGAAATACGACCAATGGGATCAATACACCTTAAGAAATATCAGCATCTAATCCGATCCCCCCCCCCCCCTTGTGAGATTTCATGAAGTGGTGGTTTGGTTTCCTGTAGACTTATTCCTGAGATTCTTTTATAAGAGAGACAGGGGGGGGAGGGATCAGTAAGAGGGAATGTGGAGGATGAGGGAGGGGGAAGTTTGGTGAGAGGGAAGGAGAGGGGAGAACTGTAAATAAGCGAGAAATAGGAGATGAAGGGGAGGGGTGAGAGACGGAAGGATAGGGAAAAAAGGTGAGAGAGGGGGAGGTGGGGAGAATGGTGGAGAGGGGAGATAGGGGAGGAAAAGGTGGGAAATGGGTGGAGAAGGGGAGGAGAATGGAAGAGAAATGAGAGAGAGGAAGTCTTAGCTGGAGAGCAATGGGAAAAGAAAACCTAGGTGAGTGTGGGTACTCTTGAGTACCCGGCTTCACCTGGGTCTCTTCTTCATCGTCCCTCGCCATACACACATCCCCTTTGTTCCCTCCCTCGCCCTTTCCCTCTAGTTCTTCCCCATCTCTCCATTTCCTCTGAAAATATATAATTATTATGAAGCACTGAAAAACTAGACTCCGTGACAATATCATCGGTCTCTGTAAAAACCAATATTTTCTTAAAGCCATTTGGGCCAACCCCGCCTGGCCTGTGACACCCTCTCCCCCACATGTTTCATATGGGAACACAACCAATATAATGCTGGAGAGAGAGTACCCTGCTTTACCCGGGTCTCTTCCCCATCTCTCCCCTCTCCTCCACTTTCTTTCCCCCTCTCTCACATTTCTCCTATAATATCCCACCTCTCCTAATCTTCCCCTCTCCACTTTTCTCTCCCCTTCTCTCTCCTTCCGTCTCTTCAAATATGCCCTCTTTCCTTCCCTCTCTCCATACATTATCTCTCTCCTCCTTCCATCTCTCTCCCTCCATCTACTCTTTCTTAGAAAACTATATAAAAAGCACTCCTTAATAAGTATATAGACAACACAACCGATATTTCAAACTTGGCCATGAAAATCGCACTGGGGGGGGGGCGGGGCCGGGAATAGATGCCGGAATTTCTTAAAGTGAAGTACTGGAGAGGAACCCCGACAGGCCTATGACTGTCCCATACCACACACGCTTCATGTGTGAAAGTTGGGTGAGGCTTGCCCCAAGCATCTGGCCTACAACCTTGGACAGATATATATAACTGAGAATGCCCGTTTATCTGTCCAAGGTTGTGGGCCAGATGCTCGGGTCAAGCCTCACCCAACTTTCACACATGAAGTGTTACTGTACACAAGTACTGTATTTGTGTACAGTATACACAATACTGTACCTTCAAACTGTGTGATCACATGAACGTATACACAGTACTGTACCTTCAAACTGTGTGATCACATGAACATATACACAGTACTGTACCTTCAAACTGTGATCACATGAACATATACACAGTACTGTACCTTCAAACTGTGTGATCACATGAACATATACACAGTACTGTACCTTCAAACTGTGATCACATGAACATATACACAGTACTGTACCTTCAAACTGTGATCACATGAACATATACACAGTACTGTACCTTCAAACTGTGTGATCACATGAACATATACACAGTACTGTACCTTCAAACTGTGTGATCACATGAACATATACACAGTACTGTACCTTCAAACTGTGATCACATGAACATATACACAGTACTGTACCTTCAAACTGTGTGATCACATGAACATATACACAGTACTGTACCTTCAAACTGTGATCACATGAACATATACACAGTACTGTACCTTCAAACTGTGATCACATGAACATATACACAGTACTGTACCTTCAAACTGTGTGATCACATGAACATATACACAGTACTGTACCTTCAAACTGTGTGATCACATGAACATATACACAGTACTGTACCTTCAAACTGTGATCACATGAACATATACACAGTACTGTACCTTCAAACTGTGTGATCACATGAACATATACACAGTACTGTACCTTCAAACTGTGTGATCACATGAATGCATACACAATACTGTATGTTCAAACAAGTTATAAAGATCATCTTCACTTCTCACAAAGTGTCTGTGTCTTAAACATCTGTCTTGTGTATAAAGAGTGATATTAATTGACCGTGGACAATGGTAGTATGGGAGATGAGTCCCCAGACAGTGATAAGACTCTCCTGGGAATTGATGGGAGCTGTCTGGTGCCCAGGTGCGGGGCCCAGACCTCGTGGACCGCACCCAGCCCCTATCTGCGTCTTATTCTATGGTTCATGCAAAAGTTGCATATAGCAGTCTTATAAGGAAACTATTCAACATTTTTACTTGTGAATACGTTCTCTGTTATGTATAGCCCAATGAATGGTGTAAGAAACATCAAACACTAAAACTATCAAAGTAGATCAAACAATCAGCAGTTTGGAAGCTGCGGGCTACACCGTTGAGGGTATATAGGCCGGGGCGAGGCCTTCTCCGTCCAGCATAGTGCGAGGTGTGTGGCCGCCAGCACAGCGCTCTGGGCCTGTCATACTGTGCCAATATACAACTCCACGCTATACGTCTACAGTCTGTCAAAACCTGACCAAGATGAAGTTGTTGCTTCCTGTATTAAAACTGCTGTTACTACTGCTGCCGGCCGTGTCTGCTGTTCTAGTGAGTTCATATTAACTTTTATTTGGGAACGGGATAGTCTGGAGATTCCAAGGTGTCGAAAGTTGACAGACAACCCCACAAACACACACACACACGTTTTCCGGTTAGCTCTTCGATTGGGGAGACTGTCCGGTGCCGGGAACTGGCGAGTTTTAGTGATTTCTGGTGTGGACTCAGTGTAGTTTTTCTCCGCCGACGGTCACTAGATGTTGCTGTATTTTCCTTGACATGGTTTAGAGCTTCAGAGAGCCCTTCGTGATTTTGCTGTTTCAATTTGCTCGATTACCCAGAGCTCAGTGCACGCCTGACGCCTCTAATGTCTGGGGTGGTTGGTGTGTGTGGGTGAGACGATAGCCTCCCCGGGGCACGCCAGCGGCTGCCAAGCGTCTTCATAACGACCGGTCGCGACACATACAGCCGTGTGCTGTAGCTACCCCCCACCAAACAACAACAATAGTACAGGGTGCCCACATAAAACCTTTTAACTCCTGGTTCAACCTTGACGACGAGCGGACGTGTGGACGCCTCCTCTGCCTGGGAGCCGCCGGATCCGTTCTGTTTTGCGATTTTGGATTTGATACTGCCGTTTGGCATCCGTATTCAACTGTTCGGTTTGTACGACGCCTGGCGCAAGTATAGCCTTGGATTGCGGGATTGTTGATAGATTTTTTCACGTATTCCGGCTGGTTCTCCCGGCGGGGTGACGGTGTCCGGCGCCGGCATAGTCGAGAAGTGCCGGGAGTTGGTGGGTCTTGGTGGGCCTTCAGCCGTGGTGGGCTCCTGGTGTGCCCTCAGCCGTGGTGGGCTCCTGGTGTGCCCTCAGCCGTGGTGAGCTTCTGGTGGGCCCTCAGCCGTGGTGGGCTTCTGGTGTGCCCTCAGCCGTGGTGGGCTTCTGGTGTGCCCTCAGCCGTGGTGAGCTTCTGGTGTGCCCTCAGCCGTGGTGGGCTTCTGGTGTGCCCTCAGCCGTGGTGGGCTTCTGGTGGGCCCTCAGCCGTGGTGGGCTTCTGGTGTGCCCTCAGCCGTGGTGGGTTCCTGGTGTGCCCTCAGCCGTGGTGGGTTTCTGGTGGGCCCTCAGCCGTGGTGGGCTTCTGGTGGGCCCTCAACCGTGGTGGGTTCCTGGTGGGCCCTCAGCCGTGGTGGGTTCCTGGTGGGCCCTCAGCCGTGGTGGGTTCCTGGTGGGCCCTCAGCCGTGGTGGGCTTCTGGTGGGCCCTCAACCGTGGTGGGTTCCTGGTGTGCCCTCAGCCGTGGTGGGTTCCTGGTGGGCCCTCAGCCGTGGTGAGTTCCTGGTGGGCCCTCAGCCGTGGTGGGCCCTCAGCCGTGGTGGGTTCCAGGTGTGCCCTCAGCCGTGGTGGGCTCCAGGTGTGCCCTCAGCCGTGGTGGGCTCCAGGTGTGCCCTCAGCCGTGGTGGGCTCCAGGTGTGCCCTCAGCCGTGGTGGGCTCCAGGTGTGCCCTCAGCCGTGGTGGGCGGCCGGTTTCTGCTCCGCCGGAGGGCACTGGATGACTTTTGCGTTTTGGCTGCGGGCCGTTTTAGTTTTGGGTTTTACTACCCAGGTGTTCTCTGTGTGGGGCGGGGCCGGTGCTCGTCATCCTGAAGGACTCTACGAGCTCCCCAATCATCTGCCTGTTTGCATTTTTTTTTTTTTTTTTTTTGCCGCGAGGCATATTAGTTTCCGTACAAGGGATGAGTACACTGCATTTTTGTAGACTGTCATGAAGATTTTGACACTTCTTCACGGGCGAATCCTACGCTAACTAAAGAAGGCTGGTGTATCGGGATGAGTGCTAAGTTGGGTGAAGGAGTATAATTTAGGAAGGAGATAATCAGTTTCAGTAAAAGACGAGGTAGTACAATGGAAAGAGGAAAAGTGGAGTAGGTGAAGGGTTGTGCACTAGGGCCTAGCCATGTCATAATGTTCGTAAACGACCTAACACAGAAAGTAAGATTGTTCACCTAGTTGAGCTTGTGGGGGTTGAGCTCTGCTCTTTCGGCCTGCCTCTCAACTGTCAATCAATCAATGATCTTTTTTCTTCACACACACACACACACACACACACACACACACACACACACACACACACACACACACACACACACACACACACACACACACACACACACACACACACACACACACACACACACACACACACACACACACACACACACACACACACACACACACACACACACACACAGCTTAACCAAAGCTGCTCCACAGCCATATCAGGAGGAAAACAGCAGTGAAGGAACAAGTGATGAAGCTGCGGAAAGGGGAGAACAGATACACAGAGAATGACAAGGAGGTGTGTGAAGAACTCAACAAGAGATTCCAGGAGGTCTTCACAATAGAACAAGGAGAAGCCCCTGCACTAAATGAGGAGGCGGCAACCTTGGAAACCTTGGAGGAATTTGACCTCACCAGTGATGAGGTCAAAAGGTGTCTGCTGGAGCTAGATGTGACAAAGGCTGTTGGGCCTGATAGAATCTCACCATGGATACTAAAGGAAGGTGCAGAAGCACTAAGTGTGCCACTCTCTATGGTGTATAACAGGTCACTGGAAACAGGAGACTTACCAGAAAGTTGGAAGACAGCTAACGTGGTCCCAATATACAAAAAGGGTGACAGGCAAGAGGCACTGAATTACAGGCCAGTTTCCTTAACTTGTATACCATGCAAGGTGCTGGAGAAGATCGTGAGGAAAAGGCTCGTAGAGCATCTGGAGGGAAATAACTTTGTAACGCACCACCAACATGGGTTCAGAGATGGTAAATCGTGCCTCACAGGTTTAATAGAATTTTATGACCAGGCAACGAAAATTAGGCAGGAAAGAGAAGGGTGGGCCGACTGCATTTTCCTGGATTGCCAAAAAGCCTTTGACA